TAGGGTCCCAGTCCTCCCGATGGGGGTCTCACCTACCCCTCCTACCTCACCTTGTTCCCTCCCCGCATCCCCACCCCACCGGCCACTGCTAGGCACATAGAAGGCATCTACTAAGCATGTGTTGAATCAATGAACTGTTTAATGAATGGTCCACCCCTAGATCATCAGCATCCATTTTAACGCTAGGCATATAGTCTGAATTCAATCCATGTTTACAGATGGAATGCTGCACTGTCCTGTCAAGTCCAGGCGGTTATTTCTTTCCACAGCCGAAGGAAACTGAGGCTCGGGTTGCGGAAGTGTCCCCCTGGGGTCTCTCAGCTTAGGCTACAGGCTGGGCATCCCTTTTCAAACTCTTTTAGCACAGCGAAGTCGAGAGCACTGGGCGGAGGGTGCTTGCTTGCCCTCAGGGTGAGTCACAGTGACCTCACAGGAGTTTCCTCAAAACGTCCCCGGCCTGTGATGGGGAAAAGCCGGAATCTCTCGGGCCCAGGTGGTCATGTTGCCCAGGCCGGACAAGCTTCCCGAAAGCCCGGGGAGGGACTAAGAAACAGTCCTCCCACGCGCTTTCTCCCACCCTCGGGCCACTGAGACGGAGGCACAGAGGGCCGCCCCCGCGCGGCCGAGGCCCCGCCTCCCGCTCGCCCGCCCGCGCCTCCAGCGGAAGCCGGAAGCAAAAGCGGGTCCTGCTAGCCCCGCAGCTCCGAACTCGGTGGTCCTGGAAGCTCCGCTGGATGGGGGAGAAGATGGCGGAAGAGGAGTGAGTGGGCTTTTCCCGGGCGGCAGAGGCGGCAGGGCTGGGCCCCGGCGGGTGACAGCGAGCGCCTCAGTCCGCCCTCAGGCTCCGGAAGGCGGAGCTTCTTTTGCTGGTTGGCCAGGACTGACCAAGCTGGTGCCTACGAGGGGGGCGGGATGGGCGGGCCTGGGCCCAGGTGGGCCTTGCGTTCTCTTGGAGGTCGGTCCCTCGAGCTGGGAATCCGCCGCCCAGCGCAGGCCCCCAGAGCGGCCTTGCAGAAAATGCAAACCCGTATTTACTTTCCCAGTTTTCGGTTATCTCATGGTTACTGAGCCTCTTCCGCCTCCTCCAGGAAGTCGTCCGGGTTCTCCACACCCACGTCCTACGTAGCCAGTCGTCTCCTCCTCTGTAACGATCAGTTTTCATGTCTTTCTCCTTCACTAAGTTTCGTTCAGTCATTAACTGTTAGCCATCTACTCAATTCCAGGCCCTGGGCACATGGTAGGAAAGGAGGCCGACCAGGAGCCGCTCTCTGGGAGCTTCCATTCTAGTGGGAAAAGAAGACCATAATTAGTCAAGATGGTTTCAGATCGTGATTAATTAACCCTATTTATGCCTAGTGTTCTGTTATTGGAACGCTAAGCATGTGGGAGTTATTTATATCCTACTGCTCAAGGTCATCGCCAAGGTCTGATTTTTCTCACATGTCTGCAATTCTAAAAATTGCAATCTCTGCCATGAATGGGTTAAGTGTTCCTAAGGAAGCAGAATAGAGTTAGGGTTGGGGAGTCCACTCAGGAAAAAGTGACATTCAGCAGAAACTTGAATGACCAGAAGGAGGGGTAGGAGAAGTAACATTAAGTTCAAAAGGTCTGGTTGAAGAAAGGGTTTAGTGCTTTTGAGTGACAGGCAGCATAGCTGGTGTGTAAAGAGGAGGGGGGGTTAGCTGAACAAGGGGAGTTAGGGAAGGACGATCTGTGTCCTCCAGGTACTTTTGAGCAAGTCCAAAAGTCATCTCCATACCTACAAGGCAGAGTCTGTTGCAGATTGTAGATGCCCTATCACTGTTTGTGGAATGAGTACGTGAAGATGAATAAGGAACCCCTTCATTGATACTGGACTCCTTCACCTGATAACTTTTCAAATATATTTCTTGGCCATATGGGGGTCATTTAATGTAATCAGATACTTACTGAGCAACTGCTCCATCCCAGACACTAAACAGGGCCTCAGCAGCACAAAATGAAAGAGGCAATATAGCCCAGCGATTTCAAGTTTGGGTTTTCAGTTTGATTCTGCCACTAACTGAGATGTTGGTGAAGCTTTGCAACCTCCCTGAGCCTTAGTTATGCATGGGTAAAAAAGGGAAAGTAATCATACCCAATCAGACATGTTATACCTATTAAATGAGAGGTAGTGTGTTACCTAGTTCCTGAAATGAAGCAGTGCTCAGAAAATAGTAACTTTTATAGTCACAATTACAGTTATTATAACAGTATTGCACTAGTTCACAATCCCAGCACGGTGTGAAAGAGCTGTGGGAACATAAGCAGTGGAGTGGGTAAATTCGGGTGAGGTAAGATGGGGTAATAGGAGGTGACATTTGAGCCTTTTGAAATCTAAGAAAGATTTTGTAAAGTAGGGTAGGGCATGCCCAGATCAACCACTGGGCAAATTCAGGTGGCTTCTTCAACTTGCAGAAATAATGCAAGGAAAAGAATGTAAATTGGAGAAGCAAAGGTGCTAAGTAAACAATGTTGGACCTTGGAAAGTGATGAGACTCCAGTTCACCTCCCTTTTAATCCCCCAGTATTTGCCAAAGAGCAGGCAGCATTTCATGTCTCTACTAGCTCTAATTCCCTACCATTCCTGTCCTCTGTGGCTGCATTCAAAAGCACCAGAGGCCACTAGTAGTGCTGTGCAGCCAGGGATTTTCTTAGTAAGTTTCTCTCCAAGACCTGCCTGTTAGTTACAAGACTTGTGAATCCCATAAAATTCTTGGACAGCTGCTCTTTCTGGTGTGAGGTGTGTGAATTGATGTTCTGGGACCCTTTTCCATTATGTAATTATGCTTTTTATGTCCTCCAGGAGGTTCCCCAATACAACTCATGAGGGTTTCAATGTCACCCTCCACACTACCCTGGTTGTCACGACGAAGCTGGTGCTCCCGACCCCTGGCAAGCCCATCCTCCCCGTGCAGACAGGGGAGCAGGCCCAGCAAGAGGAACAGTCCAGTGGCATGACCATTTTCTTCAGTCTCCTTGTCCTAGGTGAATATGGACACTGTCATCCCCATCATCTGCCATCCCCAGTGTCTGTGTACTTGGTCTGTGTGTTTAACCCTGTCACTCCTCTTGACTGTGTCAAGTCTTCCTCCCATTTGGTTTTCATATCAAACACTGAGGGAACATGTTCAGTTTATAACATCGTAACAGGGAACTCTCTTCTTTATAAAATCATGGCGCTTAGCAAGTTCCGAAGAGCTCTTTTTTTTTTTTTTTTTTTTTTTTTTTTGAGATGGAGTCTCGCTCTATCGCCCAGGCTGGAGTGCAGTGGCCAGATCTCAGCTCACTACAAGCTCTGCCTCCCAGGTTTACGCCATTCTCCTGCCTCAGCCTCCCGAGTAGCTGGGACTACAGGCGCCCGCCACCTCGCCCGGCTAGTTTTTTGTATTTTTTTTTTTTAGTAGAGACGGGGTTTCACCGTGTTTGCCAGGATGGTCTCAATCTCCTGACCTTGTGATCCGCCTGTCTCGGCCTCCCAAAGTGCTGGGATTACAGGCTTGAGCCACCGCGCCCGGCCTCCCGAAGAGCTCTTAATGTAGTATCTTAGCCTTTGAAAGAAGGATTTAAAAAATTTTGGCCTAGTAGAAAGAATCTTGAGGCCTGGCGCGGTGGCTCACACCTGACATCTCAGCACTTTGGGAGACTCAGGTGGATCACTTGAGGTTAGGAAATCAAGACCAGCCTGGCCAATGTGGTGAAACCCTGTATCTACTGAAAATACAAAATTAGTTGGGCGTAGTGGCACATGCATGTAATCGCAGTTACTCAGGGGGCTGAGGCACAAGAATCACTTGAACCTGGGAGGCAGAGGTTGCAGTTAGCCGAGATCACGCCACTGCACTCCAGCCTGAATGACAGAGCGAGACTCTGTCTCAAAAAAAAAAAAAAGAATCTTGAACATCTAGTTTAATGAATTTCAGGTTCTGCTCAAAGGAGTATGCGCGTGTGCAGGGGAGGAAGGAGCAGGGGGTAGGGTGGCAGAAAGTGGGAGGAGTCAGATGGGAGAATATCTGACCCTCTGCTCCTAGCTTCAATCAGAGCAGCATTTTGTGTTCATATTTGTTAGACTTCCATGTGAATTTTATTTAACGGTTTTGCTGCTGATTGAAAGAGCAGAAATCCTTGGCCCTAGCACCCTGTTTTCCTTAACCTCTGTCATTCTCATTAACCATGGTCATGACTTTTGCCGTATCTGTGCACCACCTGTATTGTTAATTTAGTTATGTGCTATTTTTGTTTAAATGCATTCACTCTCTGAAAACTTCATTTTGGGCCAGGTGCGGTGTATCATGCTGGTAATACCAACACTTTGGGAGGCCGAGGCGGATGGATCACTTGAGGTCAGGAGTTCGAGACCAGCCTGGCCAACATGGTGAAACCCCATCTCTACTAAAAATACAAAAAATTTTAGCAGGACATGGTGGTGTGCCCCTGTAACCTCACCTTCTTGGGAGGCTGAGGCAGGAGAATCACTTGAACCCTGGGAGGCGGAGGTTGCGGTGAGCCGAGATTGCACCACTGCACTCCAGCCTGAGTGACAAGAGGGAAACCATCCTCCACCCCCCAAAAAAACAAAAACAAATTCTTGTTTGAAAGTGAAACAAACATTTCATTTGCTGCTTTTCTTTAATGATACCAAAGTCATATTCCTAATGAGATTAGATCTTTTCAGAAAGTTGAAAGGTGGAACTGTTTTTTTTTTTTTTTTATTTCTCTGATGTGTATTAGGACTGTTTTTGAAGGAAAAGTATAACTTCTCTTACATTTATCTCTGGTAAGTGGTCAAAAATTTTAATAATACACTTGAGGCCAGCAGTTTGAGACCAGCCCGGGCAACGTAGTGAGACTGTGTCTCTATAAAAAATAAAAGATTTTAATAATACAGTCTTTTTATTTGAAATCTTAGGACTCATCCTTGTCTGTCATAGTTTCAGAAACTTTTAAACCCATACTGAAAAAGTACACAGACCAGAAGTATACAATGTCTCATATAGATTTAATACACCCTGGTAATTTTTTACCCTGTAAATGTAGTTGAATTCTATTTCTAGGGGATTACTTCAACAATGAAGGACTCTTTTTTGTTTTCTTTTTTCTTTTGCGATAGTAGTCGAAGACAAAGAAAAGCATTTCTTTTCTTGATTAAGAAATCTTTAGTAGCTGAAGTCTTCCTTCAGGATTGAGGAGTATTATTAGTCTATTTACATTGCTGTCAATTTGATATGTTAGACAATATAAAAGGCAGACCTGAAAAAAAAGAAAAACAACTTTTGCAGTCACTTTTTTTTAAGGGAAATTGAAAAGTATAATAGGACTTTTAAGTAACTTCCAGGGTGTGGAGCATTTAAGATTAGCTGTACAAAACACCGCAAAACAGGTTTCTATAATGTACCTTTTATACCAGGCAAAATCCTGCCCAGTGTTAATAGTATTATCTTTGGGGCCAGAAAGGCTGAACTGTATTTAATAGTCCTGTATATTTCTCTTGGATTGTCCTCTCCAAACGGATTATAAACCTAGACTCTAGAGTCACACCAATGTTAGGTGGGTTTCATTTTCACCTAATCAGATTCTTGATAGTTTATGAGTTACTGTCTCTGCTTATGTGGAGGTCAGCATGTATTAGCAGAATAGAATGATGCTTTCTTTTTAAGTAAATTTGAAGGCATTGTTTCCCTGTTGCATATTATTATTTATTTCTGGTTAGATATCCAAACACTGAAAATCTTTTTTTTTTTTTTTTTTCGGAGATGGAATCTCGTTCTATTGCCCAGGCTGGAGTACAGTGGTGAGATCTCACCTCACTGCAACTTCCGCCTCCTGAGTTCAAGTGATTTTCCTTCCTCAGGCTCCCAAGTAGCTGTGGTTACAAGTGCCCACAACCACACCCAGCTGATTTTTGTATTTTTAGTAGAGATGGTGTTTCGCCGTGTTGGCCAGGCTGGTCTTGAACTCCTGACCTCAGATGGTCCACCTGCCTCAGCCTCCCAAAGTGCTAGGATTATAGGTGTGAGCCACCACACCCAGTTCAAACAATGTAAATCTGATAATGTTTTTAAAAATTACTGTTATTCGGTAACTTACTAATTCATGAATAAATGAACTCAAATGAATTAAGGTAAATTAGCCTATAGTTTATTCTAGACCTCAGAACTCCTGACCTGGAATTTATTTGCCACATTTGGTTACTCTTTTAGTTAATTCAAATGAAATGGTAACTTTTGTGTCCTCTAAGCACATCACAGGATTACAGTGTGTTCCTCTTTGTTGAGAAGGGATGACAAAACTCTGTAGTTACTTTTGACTTTTAGAAACTTGAAATCAGTCGACTTGCATTTAACTATTGTTGATCTTTGACTCCACAAGAAAAAATGGGGAATCATTGTTATTTACTTACACTAGATAAATAATTAACATTATTTGACACATACATTTTATGGGCCTCGAAACTTAATGGAGTTATTACAATTGATACGTGTTTTATATATTTTCCATAGTCATTACTCTAGGCATGAAAAATTGGAAGCACACCCTCCATACCACACAGTTTTTGCCCTTTCTTGCTCGGTTTTTTTCCAAGTGTACTTGAAAACATGTGCTTGTTTTTGTGTATACAGATGTATGTTCATAAGCACATACACAAACACAAATAATACATGTTTGGAGTTGCGAATTTGTTTCGACATAAATGGGGTCCTATAACTTGCCTTTTCATCTCACAGAATGTCTTGGAGATCATTGTGTTGGTGTTTTTTCTGTCTACCTCATTCTTTTTTTTTTTTTTTTGTAGTAAAATGCACATAACATACATTTACAATTTTGAACACTTTAAAATGTACAGTTCAGCAGCATCTAGTACATTCACAATGTTGTGCAGCCATCACTACTATCTACTTTCAGAACATTTTCTTCACCCCAAAAGAAAACCATTAAAAGCAGTCGTTTCCCATCCCTCCCTCTTCTAGTCCTTGGCAACCACTATTCTGCTTTCTGTCTCTAGGAATTTGCCTATTTACAATACTTCGTATAAATGAAACCATTTATATGTGGTCTTTTGTGTCTAGTTTCTATTACTTAGCATAATGTTCTCAAGATTCATGTTATAGCGTATATTAGAATTGCATTCTTTTTTATGGCTGAGTAATATTCCACTGTATGCATATACTACATGATGTTTATTCATTCATCAGTGAACATTTGGATTGTTTCTACCTTTGGGCTATTGTGAATACTTCTGCAGTGAGCATTTCTGTACAGGCTTTTGTGTGGATAAATGTTTTTATTTCTTTTGGTTATATACCTACAAGTGGAATTGCAGAGTCAAATGGTTACTCTGTGTTTAACTTTCTCAGAAACTAGCAAATGTTTTCCACAGGGGCAGCACCATTTTACAAGGGTTCCAATTTCTCCATGTTCTTGCCAACACTTATTTTCTGGTTTAAAAAAAAATGATAGACTGGGTGTGGTGGCTTATACCTGCAATCTCAGCACTTTGGGAGGCTGAGGTGGGCAGATCACTTGAGGCCAGGAGTTCGAGACCAGCCTGGCAATATGGCGAAACCCTGTCTCTACTAAAAATACAAAAAAATTAGGTGGGCATGGACGTGGTGGCATACACCTGTAGTCCTAGCTATTTGGGAGGCTGAGGCACTAGAATCATTTGAATCTGGGAGGTGGAGGTTGCAGTGAGCTGAGATCGTACCACTGCACTCCAGCCTGGGTGACAGAGCGAGACTCTGTCTCAGGGGAAGAAAAAACGTATAGCTATCCTAGTGGATATGAAATTGGTTTTTGTTTTTGTTTTTGTTTTTGTTTTTTTTTGAGATGGAGTCTTGCTCTGTCTCCCAGGCTAGAGTGCAGTGGCATGATCTTGGCTCACTGCAGCCTCTGCCTCCTGGGTTCAAGTGATTCTCCTATCTCAGCTTCCCATGTAACTGGGATTATAGGTGTGCACTACCACACCCTGCTAATTTTTGTGTTTTTAGTAGAGATGGCATTTCACCATGTTGGCCAGGCTGGTCTTGAACTCCTGACCTCAGGTGATCTGCTTGCCTCGGCCTCCCAAAGTGCTGGGATTACAGGTGTGAGCCACTGCACTCACTGTATTTTTTTTAAAAATCTTACATGTCCTTCCAGTGAATCATTGTATTTTGATTTTAGTTTCCCTAGTGATTGTTGATGTTGAGCATCTTTTGTCTATTCATGTCCTATGCCCATTTAAAAGCTGTGGTGTTTGGCTGGGCGTGGTGGCTCACACGTGTAATCCCAGCACTTTGGGAGGCCGAGGCGGGCGGATCACGAGGTCGGAAGATCGAGACCATCCTGGCTAATACGGTGAAACCCCGTCTCTACTAAAAAATACAAAAAATTAACCAGGCATGGTGGCAGGTGCCTGTAGTCCCAGCTACTCTGGAGGCTGAGGCGGGAGAATGGCGTGTACCCGGGAGGCAAAACTTGCAGTGAGCCGAGATCGTGCCACTGCACTCAAGCCTGGGCGACAGAGCAAGACTCCGTCTCAAAAAAAAAAAAAAAAAAAAAAGCTGTGGTGTTTGTCTCTTGGCTGTTGAGTTTAAGAGTTCTTTATATATTGTGGATACTACACCCTTATCAGATACATGATTTGCAAATATTTTCTCCCCTTCTATGGATTGTCTTTTCTGACTTTATTCTTTTTAATGGCTGAAAGCTATTACTTGGCATTGATGAACCTTATATTTACCTCTTTCTGTAGTAGACAGTTCCCCCCTTTGCTCTTAAAGCTGCAAAGAGTTGTTTGATCTGTGTATGAGAATAACTTAAATTTTTTAAAATCTAGCTTGGTACAAAGGAAGAGCAGAAACTGGTTCAACTCTCTTGGTCTATTTTCTGTCCACTTATGTGCTTATTTGCCTTTTTTTGTTTTGTCTAGACATTGAGCATGTTCATTAGTCACATGTTATGTTTATGCACTGGAACTTTTTTCTTGCCCTTAGTATTTAATGTAGGATTTCTAACTAGGTTAAATATTTCTATAAAAATAACACCACAGATTGATAGTTTAAAGCGCAAAATGAAAAGAGGACAAAATGTCTACATTTACAACACTCTGGCCACCTGGTGCTTTTTGGTGGGATTAAATAAACCTCATTTGTCAGTGCAGCCTCTGAGTGTGACCAGTTAACAGCCATGTGGATTGTTTAAACAGTTCCATGAAAAAAATAACAAAATTAATTTTAGTCCTGTTAATAAATACTGGGGTTGATGAGCTGGTATACTATCTAGGTGCCCAATAAAAGAAAGAGACATGCATACTAACATTTGGATTAGGAAATTACATTCAGGAATAATTTTTGTGAAATACCTTATTTTTTTGGGTGGGGGGCAGAAATATCCCTTTCAAATCATTTTATTTTACATCTTCTTATTTTCTTTCATGACAACACCTCTGTGAAGAAAGTTAGACATTATTGTATTTTGGAGGTTGAGGAGTGAAGGCATCCAGCCAGGAGGGAGGTGGTGGGGTACACTGTGGTTAAGAGCACAGATTTGGAATCTGACTCAATACTGCAGCACCTACCAGTGGTGTGACAGGTGCTGTGATGTCTTGAAGCCTCAGTTTTCTGATCTGTAATCAGAGAAGATAGTGGTAATGACAGCTAGTTCAGAGGGGAGCTGGAGGATTAAATGAGAGAGTAGTTGGGGTGTTCAGCCTAGTTCATGGCTCATGGGAAGCCCTCAGCCAATGAGAATGGCAGGACACAGCTGCACCCAGCTGCGGAGCAGGAGTGTTCCATATTCAGATCTCTGATGTTCTTGTCACCGAACCAAAGTGTTTACTTTTTCCTGTTTGTAAAACCCTCACTTCCCTCCATGTTAAGAGCCAGTCACATGGTGGCAAACTAATTTGTGTCAATGCAATCTGTTGTAGTTACATTTATGTAAAAGTGATTGATTTCATTGACTTCCTCTTCACCACATAGAGTGTTCTAGTTGATAATCACTTCCAAAAAGTTGAAGACCATTTCTCAGAATCAGAAAAATTTGAATAATTTTAAATGATTATATAAGGTTTAATAGCTTATGTAAAAAAATAGATTTCTGGCTGGGCACTGTGGCTCACACCTGTAATCCCAGCACTTTGGGAGGCCAAGGTGGATGGATTGCTTGAGCCCAAGAGTTGGAGACCAGCCTGTGCAACGTGGCGAAACCCCGTCTCTACTGAAAGTACAAAAAAAATTAGCTGTGTGTGGTGGCATGTGCCTGTAGTCCCAGCTACTTGGAAGGCTGAGATGGGAGAATCACCTGGGCCCGGGAAGTTGAGACTGCAGTGAGCCTAGATCATACCACTACACTCCAGCTTGGGTGACACAGTGAGACTCTGTCTCAAAAAAAGTAGATTTCTGTTCCTTTTCCAATAACTACTGGAAAACAAAGTAGTTCAGGCAGACAAAGAAGTATGGAGAAAATATAATAAACATTGTAAATGTACCTCCAGTTTAAGAAATGAGACATGAAAAGCACAGCTGGAGTTCACTGTGTTATTCCACTTGTCCATTTCTGTGAGGACCCCCCAGAGATACCACTGACTGGAACTTGGTGTTTATCATTCAAAATTGGGTGTTTTTTTAAAACAATATCTTATTTTTTTTTTTGTCTACAGCTATCTGCATCATATTGGTGCATTTACTGATCCGATACAGATTACATTTCTTGCCAGAGAGTGTTGCTGTTGTTTCTTTAGGTAAGTATGTATTGGTGATTCCATGATGAAAGCAGTAACAGTAACTACCATTTTTTGAGTGCCTCTTTAGTGCCAGGAACCACAAGAGATGCATCACATCCCTGATCTCATTTAATCCTCGCTGCAACCTGCCCTAAGGGTGTTATGATCCCATTTTACAGATGAGGACCCTGGGGTTCAAGAAGGGTAGTGACCTCCTAAAGGTCATGTAGAAGCCTAAAGGCCATACAGTTCTGTACAGCTCAAAGGCCCTTTCTTAGCCTTTTACTTCTGGTAGAACTACCCTTGGGGAACATTGACCTCTACTGCTAGGCTGGGCTGACATCCAACTCAGTAATGACACTTCATAGAATCACTCAATTTTATAGACAGAAGGGACTCTGACTTTACGGTTTAGGAGGAACCTTCAATGGCTCACTTAATGCCAGAGTCAGATCTAAAGTCTTCAGAGAGCATTCCACTCTATCCCACTGACATTTCTGTTTTGTTTCCTGTGCCAATTAACTGTTGAGATCTAGTTGCAGTGAATGAACCCATGTAATAACAGGTGTGAATGCACACACAAGTTCATTGAAGTGGTTAGTGAAGGAAGAAGGCAGGGAATTTCAGTAAGTGTAAGATCAAGGCTGAAATGGGGTGGAGACATGTAAGGCACAGTAAATAAAGTCTTAGGTCAGCCAAAGCTTTTTATCAGTTTATTATATTATAGTCACTTTTACTAGTTTCCACTTGCCTACTGATGGTATTTAATTTTTCCTGATCACCGCTGATATTTAGAAGTTAACTTTGATTGCCTGGTAGATCTTTAGCGGAGTAGTAATTCTTTCACAGGATAGTTATTGTTAAGATTAGCTTTGGAAATGATTGTTCAGACTCTGTTCGCTAGCCTCCCCATCCTCCCATCACCCCAGCAGTCCTACTACCCTGGTTCAGAGTCTCCTGTATTTTCGCTGGACTTCAGTACGAAGTGCCAGATCCTGGCTTGTGAGGCTTCACATTGTCATCTCATTTATGCCTTATGAGCTCCAGGTGATACCATATTTTAAGGAATGAACACCACTGGATAGTGTTGACCTTCAGTACAGGTTTGGAAACCAGTTTTACTCAAAAAGTTCGTGTTCTCCGGTGAAACCCCGTCTCTACTAAAAATACAAAAAATTAGCCGGGCGCGGTGGCGGGCGCCTGTAGTCCCAGCTACTCAGGAGGCTGAGGCAGGAGAATGGCGTGAACCCCGGAGGCGGAGCTTGCAGTGAGCCGAGATCGCGCCACTGCACTCCAGCCTGGGCGACAGAGCGAGACTCCGTCTCAAAAAAAAAAAAAGTTCGTGTTCTCTTTTTAGCATGCTTTTTAGCAATATATCTTGGTAGATTCTAACAGCCTTAGCTAATAAGATAGTCCTAGAGCTCCAAGAATAGGAGGCTTGCTCGTTAACATTCCTTTCTGGCCAGGTGCGGTGGCTCACGCCTGTAATCCCAGCCCTTTGGGAGGCCGAGGCGGGCGGATCACGAGGTCAGGAGATCGAGACCACCCTGGCTAACACAGTGAAACCCCGTCTCTACTAAAAATAAAAAAAAAAATTAGCCGGGCGTAGTGGCAGGCGCCTGTAGTCCCAGCTACTCGGGAGGCTGAGGCAGGAGAATGGCGTAAACCCGGGAGGCGGAGCTTGCAGTGAGCTGAGATCGCGCCACTGCACTCCAGCCCGGGCGGCACAGCGAGACTCAGTCTCAAAAAAAAAAAAAAAAAAAGAACATTCGTTTCTGCTATTAGGCATATTGAAAAGAACCTCTGTGACTAATACCCATCATTCTGGGGCATTCGGTAAAGGCTTTAAGAACTACTCCAAGGAATTTACAGTTGTGTGGTCAGTTTTACAGCTTCTTAAGGAAATTTGCTTTGAAAATTATAGTTGGTGTGTATTTAGATATTATACACATGAAAATTAAAATGATAATTCTTATAATTTGGTTTAGAATTTCAAGCTCCTCATGTTTCTTGAATGTTTGGGTAACTGCAGCTTGCTGAACACCAGTGCTTCTATTAGGACTTAGAGCAGACATTGTTGGTTGCTTACCAAAGAGTCATTTCCCCCTTCTTCCTTGAAAATAGAACCCCAATTTTGATCAGGTATCTTGCCAGAGTGTGCTTGAGGAAGATAGGCCTCTCCAAGTCAGGATTGGTCTTTGCCATCATGTTAATTTCACTCTTCTTTGCCAATGATTGGTTTAGAGGGGTGGAGGTGGCAAAGCAGTGTAAAACCCGTTTCTGGCAAGTGACACCAAGGTGAAATGTGATGAGGTAGTGGGTACTGGATGGAAAATGTTTTCCTCTCCGATAGTAATGAGAAATTTCCCCTTCATTTCTTTGATGCTGCTGAATGAGGGTGTGATGCCTAGTGGACTGGTAGCCATCTTGCAACTACTGTGGCTCAAACACAAAAGCCAGAGTGCTAAGGATTGCCAGGGGGACAGATGGGAATCCCAGATTATTGATAGCATTGTTGCTTTGTTGAATTGATAGCCATGAAACTTCCTATCTTAGTGCTACCTTTTATATGAGATAATAAACATCTATTAGCTGTTGTTGACTTAGAATAAAGAAAAAAATCAAAACAAGCATATTGTTTAAGCCATTTTTAGTCTAAATTCTTTTACTTGCAACTAAAAGCATCTTAACTAACATAGAACTCTTTGCATTCAAGGGACAAAACCCAATTCAGAAGAAATTGGCCAGGCACAGTGGCTCACACCTATAATCCCAGCATTTTGGGAGGCCGAGGTGGACGGATCGCCTGAGGCCAGGAGTTTGAGACCAGCCTGGCCAACATGGTGAACCCCCCATCTCCACTAAAAATAGAAAAATTAGCTGGGCATGGTGGCAGGTGCTTGTAATCCCAGCTATCCTGGAGGCTGAAGCAGTAGAACCACTTGAGTCCGGGAGGTGGAAGTTGCACTGAGCCCCGGTCACGCCAGGACACTCCAGCCTGGGTGACAGAGCAAGACTCCGTCTCAAAACAAACAAACAAACAAACAAAAAAATTGGTAAGGGTAGGGGCGCACACCTCTTGACTCAGATAACTGGCAAAACTACGGGTAGTATTAGCTTGAGACAGCTGAATCAGGTCTCCTGGACTCAGTTCTTCTCCATGCCTCAGCAGTGAATCCCTTTTCCCCGGCTTCACTGTCAGGCAGGCTCTCTCGCTGTGGTACTCTGATCCGCTCTCAGACAGGCTCTTGGTGTGGTAAGCCCTTAAAGCAGTAACTGCAGTGTAAGAGAGGACCTCCTCTTCTTTCTGGCACCAAAAGTTGCAGGATGAACTCTGACCACCTGGTGACCTCAGAATTGGGAGTGGGGTGGAATGGTGTTGGGAGTCAGCCAGAGCTCTCCATCTACAAGATTCATTTCTTCACTGATGTTGCAGAAATAATTGTAGCCTGCATAACCAGGTCTTGGGAGAAGTGATGGAAGGGCAGTGTTGCCTTCAATACTTCCTTGCTAACTGAGGTCACTGGAAACCCAACAGCACTTCCAGGGAGAGCGCTGAGGTCCAGAAAGTACTTTTAAAAAATTATATTAGAGGACATTTGGTTAGAATTTGCAAATGCTGACTTAGCTATCAAAGTAATTCTGTATTTCATAAAGCTAAAGAAATTGAAGGAAAACTTTTTTCCTCAGCTGGAGCAAAGTCTAACAAAATATTGAGATATCTACCATTTCAAGAATTTCCAACTTTTGTGCCAAAAAAGAATCTAGATGAAGTTGCCAGAGAAAGTAGGGTTTTCATTTTTTGGGGGATACATTTTCCCCTCCTGCCAGAAGTTGCTTTGTAGCTTGCAGTCATTTCGAGACATTATTGGTCTTTTGCTTTATAGTTAGGTGTTCAGCGT